CGGTGCTGCAATACAAACAAGGATGGGGGAAAACACTGATTCAGTTTGTACTTGGCAAACCTACCTGATTCACTTTTTCAATACGTGAACAGCCACCAATGGGGCCCAAGATCCTTCAAGTAGCAGAGGACAGGTGGAGCATTGTCTCTCACACCAAACATGGCTGTCTGTTTCTTTTCCCTTTTGCCCACCCCCTGCACCACAGGGTACAGCCTGGCATGTAGCTGCCTTACACCAGCTTGTTCTGTCCATCAAACTCAATATTGTCTACTACTCTTGTCATGTCCAGGGATCTTTCCCATCCTATTCTGTATGCAAAACACTTGCTTTACCTGTGAGCTGTGGCTCCTGCCCTGACTTCCCTAGCACATTTCTAGTTCAGTGGATCATGCATCCATAATGGAGCAGAGAAGGCACCTTGTAGTTGGTTGTTCAAAACAACCACAGAGAGAATTGCCTGCCTACTTTCTAGGGAGTGGCTCAGTCCTTTCATTTTCTACTCGATGTTATATACTTGGGGGTAATCACTGTAGAGTTCTGTTACTACAAGCCCTGTGAATAGAATCACACTGGACAAACAAGGAATGGAGCCAACGGGCTTTTGCAAAACATAAAGACTCAGTCATACTGGGCCTTCTCTAGGGGATTGTGGTCTGGTGAACTGAATGTAGGACCTAGAGCCAAGAACACCTACTTTCTCCTCTTGGCTGTCCACTGGCTTTTCTGTGTGGCCTTCATAAAGTTATGCTACTTCTGCCTCCCACCTGTGATTTGGGATGACTCTTTATCATCATCGCTGTTGCAGCAAAAATACGTCAAGCAGCAAGAACCAAACATCATTGCAAGGCTAAATTATTACATTGTAAAGTTTATCATCCATTTCATTTTATCTTATTAAAAAGGTAAAGGGACCCCTGACCATTAGGTCCAGTCATTGCCGACTCTGGGGTTGCGGCGCTCATCTCGCTTTATTGGCCGAGGGAGCCAGCGTACAGCTTCCGGGTCATGTGGCCAGCATGACTAAGCTGCTTCTGGCGAACCAGAGCTGCGCACGGAAACAACGTTTACCTTCCCGCCGGAGCGGTACCTATTTATCTACTTGCACTTTGATGTGCTTTCACATTGAATTATTTGCGAACACTGGGGCTGCTTTGAATAATCTCCCCAACTGAAGATTCATTTATGTAGGGTGCTTTGGAGAGGAAACAGTGTGATATTAATGCCAAAGTTTTATGTATGGATCTACTTCCGATGTTACAGATATAGTTGTAGTAACGTACTCAGCATGGGTCTGTGATTGTTGTTGTTTAGTCGTTTAGTCGTGTCCGACTCTTTGTGACCCCATGAACCAGAGCACGCCAGGCACTCCTATCTTCCACTGCCTCCCCCAGTTTGGTCAAACTCAGGCTGGTAGCTTCGAGAACACTGTCCAACCATCTCGTCCTCTGTCGTCCCCTTCTCCTTGTGCCCTCCATCTTTCCCAACATCCGGGTCTTTTCCAGGGAGTCTTCTCTTCTCATGAGGTGGCCAAAGTATTGGAGCCTCATCTTCACAATCTGTCCTTCCAGTGAGCACTCAGGGCTGATTTCCTTAAGAATGGGCCTGTGATATATACCCGCTAATCCTGCAGTGTGTGAAGTGACCCTTAGTGGTGTTAGTTGTGTGAGTGCAGCACAGGGTATGGACTGAATACAGAATTTTACATTCATTCTCCCTGGACTGGAGAACATTATTGCTCCTGCATTAATAGCTGGTGACATCAATAATATCTCAATATGCTAGATAGCCAGGGAGTTAAGGTGCCCTCTCATTCTCACTCACGACCATAGGAAGTAGAGTGGTGGAACCAATTATCCCCTGAATACCCCCTTCCCCATTTACACTGTAAATGACTTCTCTCAGTTTGACTTCTCTCAGTTTGCAGGTTCAAGATCGCTGTCGGTTGACTCAAAACACAACGTTCATAGGTTTTTAAATAAAATGCTATTGGAGCTGGCCTTTTTAGTTACAGTCCTAACATAACATGATCTTGTAGTGACTTCTGGAGCATGCAATACAAGGACTAGAATGATAGAGTTAGAAGGCATCTTGTCAGTCACCTGCTCCAACCACCTGTGGATGCAGGAAACCTACTATTTCAGCATCCCTGAAAAGTGGCCATCCAGCCTCTGTTTAATGTCCTCTAATGATGGAGGACTTCTTGATACAGTTTGTTCCACTGTATTCATCCTTTCTCTTGTCGTTTGAACCCATTGGCTTGGGTCCTGCTTCTGGCAAGAAATTTTTTTTTGTTCCATCGCTTCAGTGCATTAAGCCAACAGTTGGCTGAGTGTGGTGTGCAAGCCAGGCCACTGGAAATGCTCAGCGCTTGCTTCCACAGAATGAAATACTGTTCAGTGTGCATTTTCAAATCTCAAGTTTCATGTGGATTCACAGCGGTTGTGGCAGAGACAGTTTGCATGATAAATATTGAGGAGGTCGCTCTCAAGTTCTGACTTTGTTCCTTGACGAGCTCGCCCCACCCCTCTCCAGCAGGCACATTTCCCCTTGCATGCTAAGAAAGCTCTGTGTGCCCAGAGCTCCTCTGTGTTGGCTGTTTCAGGCATCCAAGAAATTACAGGATAGTTGCAGCTGTTGAGTGATAAACCATAGATTCGGTTTGGTTTCAAGCTTGTGAGTTGTTTGCCCAGTGTCCTTGCAGTACCTTCTCCTTCCCTTTCTTGGGCAACATCTTTTTCCCATTCATGCACCCGTCCCCCTCCCTCCCACCTCTGTTTAGCCTTGGCAGCCAGCACCTTCCCCTCTTGCTCATTCATTTCACTGCTCCCCCCACCCACTTTTGGCATGTAAAAATGCAGCACTATAGCAACAATGGAAGGTCCTTGTTGGGAGTGGACTTGATGGAGGGGGGGAGGGAAGGTGCAACTCTTGACTGCGTTCCAGCGTGTTCTCGCCACAGTCCTGGCTCTGACAGTTGAGAGGGCTCTTCAAAGCCCCTTATTACAAACACAGGGCTAAAAATAGGTTCACAGTCAGCTGCTCTACAGAGGCACTTTGTAATCCTTCACTTCCCAGGGCTGGCAGCACCATTTTAAAAAATGAGACTTGAGTCCAGCTCTGAAAAACTTCACAGAGTGAAGCAGGCAATGCAAAGTATATCAAAATGCAAATTCATAAACACTCTCCATTCTCTGTGAGGCCTGCCAGGGCATCCATCTGCCTTGCTGCCAAATGTGTTTGTAGCTTTTACGGCGAGTACTTGGTTTTTTTGTTTTTAAACCTGCACTAACTCTGATAGTGTAGATTTTTGAGCAGTGTCCTAACTTTCACTTCTGAATTTTGCAACTCCCGGTGAGAGTTGTTGTTCAGCAACACCAGGAGAGCCAGAGTCTCTCCCCAAAACCAAACTGTGCCTTCTTAAAGAGAATATCTAATGCCCCAAGCAATCCCAGCACAAGATAATGCTTCAGTTAAAATTGTGGGGGGTATTAGTAAGCCATTATTGTAGCCGGCATGTTTCTTACAGAAGGAAAAGATTCCCTGCCCTGAGGATCTTGCAGTCTAAATGCTGATAGGAAGAGATTGGAGAAAGAGAGATGATGGCATGGGTAGCTAACTAACCCTGACAAAGCACAATTAAAGGTTTTTGGGGGCTCCCAGCTCTAAATGTGAACAACCCCATAATATTTCCATGTATAGTTGTCTTTCGTTTCTTCCGTCTGCATCCCACCAGATTCCAAGGAACTGAAGGTGACATAAATGCAGGTTACCTCTCTCCATCCTCTAGGGATGGGCGGATCACGTCATTTCTGGCCCTAGTCAGTTTTGCAGATGTTAACTCATACGTCCATTCCATCCCATTTCTGTATTAATTTGTGAATTTTTTAAAAAATATGAAAATTTGAATACATGTTAAAACACATCATTGAACATGTATTTTATCACAACTTGTGTATTTAAGTATGCAGTTGTCCTAATGAGAATCCAAGAAACTTCTCTTTGATCCTCTTATCTTCACAACAACCTTGCGAGGCCGATTAGACTAAGAGTGTGTTGATGGGCCCAAGGCTTGCCATTGAGCATTTGAGCCCAGGTCACCCTGTTTCACAATCTCAAGCAGCTTAAGGTGTTCAAAAGTCAGTCTGTGCTCACTCAGTTGTGAGATCCAGTTCTCAAAGCGCTCACTGCTGTTCCAGGCAAATAACTCCCAGATAACCTGAATATGGAAGTTCAAGGCAGCACCAAACTGCATATGCTCAGAACTGCAATCTCAAAAAAAGAAATAGAGAAAAAGAAAGTGGAAGATAAACCACTATCTGATTAACAATTAGTTTCATTTGGTTTGGAGGAAATCCAGCATGCTATAATGGTTGCACAAAGGCAACAGAACACCCAGAGGTTAGAGCTTATGCCGTGCCCATTATCAAGCCTTGTGGTGAATGGAGTTGCTTTGAAAGGAAGAGTAAGGAGCACTTGATACTGTCCTTGACTGACCTCATGAGGTCATTCAAAGCACTGACAAGCTTGTTAAGAAAGAAACATGTCTTCCAAGTCACATTGGTGCAGGGTCTTTCACTTTTGTTGCAATGTGAAACAAAAGTGAAAGTTGGGTACTTTAGACTCTGAATGTCCTTCGTTGTTTTGATGTGCTGGGAAATACCCTGTGTGTGTTACCCTTAGCGCTTGTGATTCAGGAATGTGCTGTTGTGGTTGCTGTTTTAAAAAAGATATTGTTTAATGGAAGGGGAAAGGATCTTTTCCTTGATAATGGTTAAATTATGCTGTCTCATATTGTCTTATGTTAGGCTTTACTGTTCCTCTTTGCTTCAGTCTATTCCCAGGCCTTCCATCTCTTGCCCCCCCTCCCTTTCATCACCACCACTCTGATTTCACTGTGTACCACTGGTAGCCAAGATGGTACCCTCCAGTTGTTGATGGATTCCAACTCCCATCAGCCCCAGGCATTATGGCCAATGACTAGGGATTATGGGAGAGCAGTGTGTGTGTGTGTGTGTGTGTGTGTGTGTGTGTATGTGTATGTGTGTATGTATGTATGTATGTGTACGTGTATGTACGCGCGTGCATCCACACACACACACACACACATTCAGGGAACAGCTATGAGACAGCCAGGCCTTCCCAGACTCTCCTATGGCAATGAATCACAGAGTTGGAAGGGACCACGAGGAAAATCTAATACAACCGCCTGCAGTGCAGGAAAATTTTGCCCAACATGGGGCTGAAACCCACAATCCTAATGGACTCTGGATATGCTAGGTGCTGAGCACTCGGGCAGAATATTTCTTGCATGTTTGCCTGTAAATAAAGAGACTAGAAACTTGATTTTCAAAACAAAACAAACAATTCCTGAAGAGTAAGGGCCAGAACCAGGAGGACAGGTAAGCCACCACAGGGTCTCGGCCTGTGAACATAGGAATCGATGGTAGAAATTTGATTTGAATTGCTATGTGCTCTGCCACCAGGAATGTTTAAGAAATGCCTTGTATTGTATGTCCCAAGCTGCTTCCAAAGCTGCCCAGCAGACACATGGTTGCTTGGTCTTAACAGCGTGGCTGCACCTGTTTAAATAATTTTGCCAGTCAGTTGCTCTGACCTTCCTCTTTTCTTAGGAGCTGGACTACCAGAAGAGACGTATGCGGGAAGCTGGCGATAGATTTGTCCCTGTCATGGGCGACTTTATCACTGTAGCCAGTTTTAGCTTTTCAGAGCTGGAAGACCTTCTGAACGATGCAAAGGATAAGGTAGGAAAATGCTTTTAAATTGTTTGTTCTTTGATACGGTCCTCCAACCCAAAACACATACGAGGCATGTAACTTTGTTTTCATTTTTAATGGGCTGTTGCACAGAGTACATATATCTATTCTTCATTGAGAAAGGAACCTTGTCTGCAGAAATGAAGGCTGCTTCTTTTCCATGGGACAATGGGTGGCTCTTTAATAAAGGTCTGTAATTGTTTGAATGGCACATTTGATTAGACAAAGGTTATTAAACAGAAATGCTGTGATAATGCAACTTACCTGCAACTTCCAAATCTAAATACATTCTCCAGTTACAGACTAATTTTTCATCTCCAGAACTAAGGTCCTTTCCAAATATCTAGCAGTGACCCGCTTTGCTAAGATGAGTCCGGTAGACCCAAATGTACCATTCGTAGGTTACTTCTGGAAAGACAAGAAAGCACTGAAGAACTAAAACTGTGATAGCTAGCAAGGGTGCATATATTAGAAACTGGGGCTTGTATTAGCTCCCCAACGTATCACCTGGAGCAAAACAGACACTTCTTTTTCCACCTGATAACATTTGTGTTCAGAGAAAAGCATGTACATCGTGTCCCAAGAGGCAAATTGTAAAGCAGCAGGAGAGTAGACCTTCAATTTATTTGCTCCTGACTAGAAGTTGGCACAAATCCTTCAGTATCTAGGGTGGGGAAGAAACATAAGAAAACGTTATAAAGGCACAAGAATGTTTAAAGGAGAACAAGTCATAATGTAAACAAGGTGTAACAATGGTAAACGTGTCCTGCTTTGCTAGTGTGATAAAGGCAGCTAATAGCACCAAGTAAGTCTGTTACACCTTGGCCCATTTTTTCTCTTTTATGTAAGGAGGTTGAAAAAACACCTTTTGGTGTTGTGGTGGAACCTTGCCTGAGTGGCGAGGTTTCCTGATTTTTCAGCCACTTCACATTACAGCTGAAGTTGGTGCTTTCTATTTTAAGTTGATCGCATCACATCACACCCCTGGATGCTTTGGGCAGTTATTGTCTCTGCAACATGTGAAATGCCCCTTCTTTCGTAGGTTACATCATGTAGGAATTCATATTTTGGGGAGCCACTGTTCTCTAACTCAGCCTTGTAGTACCGACTATGTTTTGTACTAGAACCCTGATACCTACCTACTGGAGTCTGGTGCAAAAGAATAAAAGAATTCTGAGCCCAGGAATTGGTTTTGAATAACAGATATGCATTGAGCTTACACACTTCTTCCATACAAAACCCCCCTCCTGCGGGGGGCGGGGTCGTTTGGTTGTTGCCTTTCTTAAACAATTGAGAGCAAGAAATCCTTGCTGATCTACTTCAGATCACCCAGAGACCCACCAGCAGATCCCAGGCTACCTTCTGCTTAGCCCTGCTCTAACCCAGATGTTTTATGAGCCCTTCAGCCTTGTGCTCTCATCCATTGCATTTGTTGGGGTTGTGGAAAATATTTTCCTGTGCCATCTGATGTACAGCTGTTATTCCCCTCACTTTTAGTTTGCTAGCGAGTCTGTTTCAAATAGTCACTGTGCACTATTAGGAACATGGCTGCTAGTGCCATTGTAGAGATAGGGAGGGCAGGATTTGGTTCAATTCGCATTGTCATGTGAATTTGCCAGACTTGAACTTCCTGAAAAAATATGTGGACCAAACGGCAGTTATCTTTTGAAATTCAAACTGCTCCAAATTTTGTGGCGGAGTTAGCCAGCCAAGTAATGTGTACAAAAATGGATATGTTTAGGCAAAGTAGGCATAAAAATCTTAGTGAAAATAACATGCAAAAATGCACATATTAGGGGAAATTGCTTGCAAAAAAAAGTGCATTAAAATGTTGGATTCTCATGAGGAGTTTAAAAAAAAAAATCACAAACTGATGCAGAAATGTGGAGAAGGAAATTTAAGATTGAAAAAATGAGAAACAGAGAGAGAGAGAGACTGAAATTGACAGATTCTGCCATGAGGGGAAAGCCAAGCTGTTCTGATCTGCAGGGCAGCGCCACCCAGTGGTGCTCTCAGGGAATGGCGCTGCAGCCTGGGCCCCAGCTTGACCTTCCAAGTGCAGCGTGTTTAGCCAGCTGTTTAATCCAGCCCTGCTATCTTGTATCATGACACATGACAGGGCCTCACTCTCTACGTTATGTTGTTTCAAAATGTGCCACAGCCCAGCTCTGACCTTTTAAAGTTATAACTGTCTCTCTCCTCTGTGAGTGTGTCTGTTTTTCATGGCTAAGATGAGTTGCCTTGCAGCGTAAAAAACAAATGCAAAAGGGGGGAGGTTTTAATTTTAAAAAATGGGAAATGGAAATGTTATAAAAATGAAATACACAGAGTGTTTTATCTGGCTTTCCTCAAAATTAATGTCCTTTATCTTAAAACAACAAGCCTGTTATTTCAAGCTGTCAGCTGTCTGTCTTTGAGCCCCAGGTTAATATAGGATTGGTTTGGATACTGTTCGCATATAGCACTTTGCTTCCCAGACCCTTCACTTTTTGTTTGGTTTCTCTTCATTAACAGAACCTTTGTTCTTGGGTTGTTTTCTTGCTTCTATTTCTGTCTGGATCCAGTGGCCTGAGGGAATAAAATATATAATGAGCAAGCAAAAGGGAAGAATGAAGGAAAGTTAGCCAAAATTTACATTTCCCTGAAAAGGCCTGGTGTTAAGTGGGGATGTTAACCGAGCTCAGTTTCTAGGGTTACTTACTAGGGAAAGGGCATCTTATCCCTCATACAGAAATCTCCTTAGCCAGGGCAGGAGCTCAGTGGTGGAGCATCGGTTTTGCATGCAGAAGACCCCAGGTTCAATTCCTGGCATCTTCAGGTAGGACAGAGAGAGACTGCTGCCGGAAACCATTGAGAGCCACTGCCAGTGTAGACAGTACTGAGCTAGATGGACTAATTGTTTGACTTGGTGTATCACAGCTTTCTGTGTTTGTATGTTCAGATTCTAAGAGCCTTGGGGTCAACCCGTGACCTAAGGCCTTTCTCTTCCTAGCACATCACTGGTAAAACAGACTCTCTTTTAATCACAGCTGAAATCTTCATTGGTACAGTGTGGATGTTTGGCGCCTCATGCCTGATAGGGTCCTGCCATTTAATACTTTTTTGTACTTGAGGACACAGCCGCTCCTGCTCCTGCTCCTGCTCCTCCTCCTCCTCCTCCTCTTCTTCTTCTTCTTCTTCTTCTTCTTCTTCTTCTTCTTCTTCTTCTGTCTTGTGAGAAAGGGCCAGACTAAGGTTTGTGTTTTCCTCATAGTGTGTAGACATTTCTTTTGTTTTTATTAATTCTATTTTAGGTGCACAGGTATATGGGGGTGCCTTTCCTACCATAATAATATAGCCTCCAACAGTCCTCAGAAACTAGGGGCACTCTATTTTTACACCAGTAGAATGTCCCTAATTTCTGAGATGTTGTGAGGAATTCTTAGAATTTTGCTGCTGCTGTTGTTGTTGTTGTTGCTGCTGCTGCTGTTGCTGTGGACCGCCCTGAGATCTACAGATGAAGGGTGGCATGCAAATTAAATGAATAATAATAAATAATGTTAAATGTGGGGCATAGTGAGGGGAGGATTACCTATTTCTTTCCCTAGCCCCAATCAGAACAGAAACAATCCACCTTTGGGCTTTAGGTGTCCTGTTTCTAGGATCACCTATAGCACTGGCTTGTCGCACAGGGAGGGCCAAAGAGCAAGGTTAGGTCACACTTCATGGGCCAAGTCTAGGACAACAAGGGGGGAAGTCTGTATTGGTGATTTCTGCTTAGATCGGAGCTGGGAGAGGAGAAGTAAGACTTTCCTTACTGCGTGTTACGTTTGCAGTAGGAAATGCACTAATCCCATGTGTGCACCATAATTAAACCAATTAAAATAAACAAAGTAGTTATGCAGTATAATGCGTTCTTGACTTCCAAAGACTACCTCTGAGTTGTGAGCTTTGGAGAATCATAACATAGCCTAGTGAAGAGAAACAGATCCTGCAAAACAATAGTCCCTCAACACAGTGGGGAATGCCCATATCATACCCCATGGCATGTGCTTTACAATGCCTGAGAACCTGAGCTGCAGGTTACCCCGCATAATGCTTAATCCAGCTCAGCAAATGAGAGCTTTCCATCTATTTGTGCTAGCTATGTCAGTATCTTCCAATCGTGTATCCTTTCCATCACTTGGTGCAATTTGTTTCTGGTGTTTCGAGGATTAAGAATCCAGGGTTTATTTTCATCCCAAACCGGATTTAATCATACTGGGGAAGGAGAATCAGGTTCCTGGTTCTGCTAAGCTAATTGAAGTGTCTCCCCACAGCAAAGCCAATCATGTCTGGAAGTGGCTGCATGCACCTTTGCCAACATAATGTTCTCAACGAGAGATGCTTAATTCTAATTGCTATAACATGCCCCATCAATCTGTCACTCCGTACAATCATGTGCGCAGCTACTATTCTTGAACCAAGTTCCTTTTCAGCTTCTACTGGAGGAGCTCACAGCTTTCACTCCTCATCAAGCCCTGAGCTGCCTTTGGAGCCAGGAAGGGAATATTCTGTCCTTAACAAAACTGGAGCTATTTCTCATGCTCACTTTACTTTCTTACTTTCTTTCCCCACCCCCTGCTTTAAAAAAATAAAATAAAAATAAAAATTATATATGTATGTATGTGTATATATATATATATTTCCCCAGATGTGCTTCCCAGGGCCTGAAATTGCTCCATTCTCAATGGTCTCTCTGTGTTTGTTGAATCAGGAGTGCTGTCTCCACCATGGAAACTTCTTGCAACTGGCCAGTACGGACGGAGGCCAGAATACTCAGAAATTCCACGATACTGTTCCTTTTAGCAAGAAAACACTCATGAATGTGATTTTTATCAACACTGAAATGGGTCTTGCTTTAAAAGCTTTGGCCATTAAGCTGAAGAACAGTGACAGTCATTGGGATTAAACACCTTTCTGTATATGGATCTAGGTTAATGAGCACAGAGGTCTAAATGGGAAGGAGACAACATCTCACCTATCATGATGTAGAAATGCACTGCCTCATCCTTGTTCCCAATGATCTTCCCCCTACCTGCCGGTGAAGGACCCCTGGTCCCCTCTTCCAACCGAAGAGGAATGCAGATAATGTGATTCCCCCATCATTATCTGATTATCTCCCTCTGTCTCTCTCCAGTGGGTGTTGGGAGCTACTGCTTTCCTGGCACACCATAAACAGGAAGCAACAGCAAAACTGCATTTACTTTGTGTATTACAAAGCAAAAAAGCAGTTCCATGTTTCTGTGCTCATAGACTGAGGGTGTAATGGCAGAATCAGGCTTTCTCCTGATTCATGGTGGGTTCTGGAGTCAAGGAACTTGGCAGGTGGGTATGCATAGTATCAGCAAGGATCATTTACGGGATGGAGACAAAAACAGTGGGAATTTGTTGCCAAGTGTGGAAACACGTCTGGGAAGCATTTCACAGGCAGCTGGGATCAACAGGATCCAATGAACAAGGAAGGGGGACCAGAATTCAGCAAGTTTTCTGAGCCAAGGCAGTACCAATACAAACCAGTAAGTGTTTATCAACCAGGGTTGCCTATACTGTACAGCCTTAGAGTCAGACACAGGTCAAATTTCAAAATGCTTTTAAGATGTCCAGGTCTAATTTCTGTGTTATCTAGAGCAACCACTCATTTCTTAGTCCTCTTCCCCAAATCAAACTGCTGAATATGCAAGTTACTGTGGAAGTAAATGATTCCTAGGTTGAGGTTTCATTAAATGATGTTTGAATGGCCAGATTTATAATAGTCACGAACCTCAGGCTTCCCTAAGAAAATATTAGAAATCCTAACCACCAAATACCTTTCCTCAACCTACTTTGGCCATTCAGTATGGGTAAAGTAGTCTATTTTTAGCCTGTCACTTAAAATCTTATAGGCATTAGTGGATGATATATTAATAGAATTGACTGACGTGTGCAGGAAAGCAGAACAAGACTGAGCAATCAAAGCCCTAGTCTCAGAATGGTGCTGTAGACCAGCGATCTGGCTGTGAAACAGACTGCAGTCTGCTCGCAATGAGAAGAATATGCCCCTAGCAGAGAGGCGCTTGAACACACAAAGTTGTTGGTCAATCAGAACATCTACATTTGGTGTTGTTACTTAGATTGATTTTACTTGTGGTATTGTTTTATTGGGAACTGCTTTGAAATTCTTTTGTGTTTGTGAGACGCTGCATATAAATTTAGCAAATGAAAATAAATATGGGAGTCAGTACAGTGGTTGTTGTTGTTTAGTCGTTTAGTCGTGTCCGACTCTTCGTGACCCCATGGAACAGAGCACGCCAGGCACTTCTGTCTTCCACTGCCTCCCGCAGTTTGGTCAGACTCATGTTTGTAGCTTCGAAGACACTATCCAACCATCTCGTCCTCTGCCGTCCCCTTCTCCTTGTGCCCTCCATCTTTCCCAACATCAGGGTCTTTTCTCATGAGGTGGCCAAAGTATTGCAGCCTCAGCTTCAGGATCTGTCCTTCCAGTGAGCACTCAGGGCTGATTTCCTTCAGAATGGATAGGTTTGATCTTCTTGCAGTCCATGGGACTCTCAAGAGTCTCCTCCAGCACCATAATTCACAGTAGTGGTACCTCGGGTTATATACGCTTCAGGTTACAGACTCCGCTAACCCAGAAATATTACCTCGGGTTAAGAACTTTGCTTCAGGATGAGAAGAGAAATCGTGCCCCGGCGGCGCAGCGGCGGCAGGGGGCCCCATTAGCTAAAGTGGTGCTTCAAGTTAAGAACAGTTTCAGGTTAAGAACGGACCTCCGGAATGAATTAAGTACTTAACCCGAAGTACCACTGTACCTAAAAGGGGAGGATAAATATTCCCTAACATATTGAAATGGCTCAGATATTGGTAGAGTAAAGGTAAAGGTAAAGGGACCCCTGACCATTAGGTCCAGTTGTGGCCGACTCTGGGGTTGCGGCACTCATCTTGCTTTATTGGCCGATGGAGCCGACGTACAGCTTCTGGGTCATGTGGCCAGCATGACTAAGCCGCTTCTGGCGAACCAGAGCAGCACACGGAAATGCTGTTTACCTTCCCGCCGGAGTGGTACCTATTTATCTACTTGCACTTTGGCGTGCTTTTGAACTGCTAAGTTTGCAGGAGCAGGGAATGAGCAACGGGAGCTCACCCCGTCGCAGGGATTCAAACCGCTGACCTTCTGATCGGCAAGTCCTAGGCTCTGTGGTTTAACCCACAGCGCCACCCGCATATTGGTAGAGTAGGGGAAGGCAAATACACAGCTATTCTTCTGAATGACAGCCTTGCATTTGTCACCATATCTAGTTTGGCCTAATAGAAGAAGGATCTGTGGAGGGAAGAAGAAAGCAAGCAAGTTCAGATTTTGGGTTTATTTGCTTTGAAAAATAATGGCTCAGCCAGTTTCGAGATGGAAAGGGAGCTGAGTGGCAGACAGTTCTTCTCAGGGTATACACAGAGTGCCTTGCTGTGTTCCCTTTTGCATTTTGAGCATTTAACCATTTGCAGGAGCAATCATGACCAGTCTTGATGGCATCTCACGGAAAAGATATGCCCCCTGTGTTATCCTTGACCATGGCTTCTGCCATCTGAAACTCTGCATTGCTCACTTACATAAAAGGAAGCATAAGCCCACAGGCATTGCTCCAGCTTCAGCAGCACTGCAGCATAATGTCAGTGTTTTGGGGATGAGCAAATGACAGGACACAAGAAACTAAGCAAAGCTGTCTGCAGTTGACACCCCAGGGAGATCACCATTTGTGATCTCAGATGAGATTATTGTGTCATTGTGTCAGGCAGTTTCTGGAAAGAAATTGTGGCAAGCTGGGGAGTACACAAGCAAGCTCAGTTTGTAATGCACACAGGGTTGCAGGGTTAAGGGCCTGTTGTCAGGAGGATGCACTGGAAAGGGAGGTTGTACATTTTGTGTCCAACAGAGAGGCTTATTGAGGTGGTGAAAGTCATGTGTCATGAATAAGCTTGTTCATTTCTTCAGCTGCTGTGAGGACAAAACTATCGTGTATCTCATGATGTCCATATCCATGGGGGTGTGGAGGAGAACCAGAAGGGCTGGGTCCATGGAGTGTATTAAAAAATGGAATATTTAGCAGACCTAACAAAAAAAACAAATGTAGGGGGAAAGGATTGGTGAGAAAAAATTCAGTGATTGCTGTGATTTCACCAAATCTAAATCATGGCTGCCTTGTGACAGATGCATTATCAGTTGGCAGCTACCAAATGCTTCTTTTAGCCTCTGCATTCTCCTTATAAAAGAATGAGAGTAATGTTTCCACACTGTCCATTCTTATTTACTACCCTCTCCCCCCCACTCATCAACCACATGATCTAGCCACTGTTTCATTTCTCCTAGGAAACAACCTTTTATATTGGGTGTGAGGTCTCTTAAAGTAATTGCCCAACAAAATCTCTGTATTAAAATGCTGTGTTGTTCCTGTAAGAGCCTCTTAATTCTGGCTTTGCAGGTAATTGGGAGGGAAAGAAGTTGGGCAGAACCTGGGTGCTGTTTAACCGTTGTCACCGCCGCCACCAGCATTTCTGCACTGGGGTTCAGAGTTGAATTTATACCTAAGGTGTTGATGTACCTGACCTGCTTTGTTGTTGTCATATGAGTGTGTGTGTGTGTGTGTGAGAGAGAGAGTGCACAAACCACTGCCCAAGCCTCACAACTGACAGCCTCCGTATCAAATTCTTACATTCAAGTCAAAGCTTATCCCAAACTCCTTCTGGCACCCGTTTGCTTGTTCTAGGAGAAATGTTGCCACCAGTTCTGGCTCGCTTGCTCATTACACCAAATAAGCAATGCAGCATGGTGCCTGGCAAATGCCGGCAGCCACTTCATTGGGTCTCAAGATGGCCTCATGATGAACGAGAGCTGAAGCCTTAGCTGCTTCATGCTTATTGTGTGGCCTGCCCTAGACTTGGCTAGCCCAGCTCTCCAGACTGGTGAGGCAAAGGGACCATTAAAATGACAAACCCAATCCCTTGGTCTGCTGGGCATTGATAGGAATTTTCACTAGCAATAAAAAGGGGGGGGCGGGATGCATTTCACTTCAAAACACACTTGTGCCTTTTCTTTCCTGTTCTAAATGCAGTGTGTCTGTTTGTGGTTTTTTGTTTTTTGTTAATCTTTCTTCCTTTCCCTGACAGTACGCCAAGGCGCTGAAGCACTTTGGAGAGCATGAGGGCAGGATGCAGCCAGATGAGTTTTTTGGCATCTTTGACACCTTCCTGCAGTCCTTCACAGAAGCCAAACAAGATCTGGAGAATATGAGGAAGAAGAAAGAGGAGGAGGAGCGGAGGGCACGCATGGAAGCCATGGTGAGGTGGACTCAAGTGTGTTGGAGCAAAAAGAGAGCTTTCTCTGGGAAGTTGTTTCTCCCAGCATCTTGGGAAGTCTAAGGACAGTGTGTGCTGAGGGACATGTCTTCTCTCTGCACTCCCACACACAGTGCGGCCAGCTGTCCTGCACCATTGTCCCATCTGAGCTCATATCCTGCCTGCCTGTTGGCCTCTCATTCATGCTCTTTGCCACAAACCTTCCTTGTCCCACATGCTCTGTGTGGTAAGAATCTGTCCCTCTCGCCCTCCTTTCAGCACCGCAATGTCTACATGCTAATAAGGGACAATGCACACTGTGCCGTACAGACAAGAATGAAAATGCAGTGGTACCTCGAGTTACAAATGCCTCAGGTTACAAACACTTCAGGTTACAAACTCCGCTAACCTGGAAGAGTTACCTCGAGTTGAGAACTTTGCCCCAGGATGAGAACGGAAATTGTGTGCCGCCGGCGGCGCAGCAGCAAGAGGCCCCATTAGTGAAAGCACGCCTCTAGTTAAGAACAGTTTCAGGTTAAGAACAGACCTCCAGAACGAATTAAGTTCATAACTAGAGGTACCACTGTACTGGCTGTTTCCAATGAGAAACAGTGATAAATACCAAGGGAAGGTTCCACTGTTTGCCATAGGAAGCATGGAGAGTGGTAAGACGCAAACAGAACAATCCATGATTTCCATTGAATTAGATTTTAATAATAAATTAATAACAGAATTATTATAGACAATGAAAGGTACTACATTGCATTATTTGAATTTAATGGCATGACATCCCCTTTGACCTCTCCTGAGTCCAGTGCTTCAGCCCTTGACACCAGAAATAGAAACTGGCACACCAGCCCTGTGGTTCTAGCACTCAACCATTCCCCTCCCATTTCTGCTGGACAAAATGTAAAAATATGGGAAGTCCAATTACGGATCTCCATGCATACAGCTGGGGCAGACTGTTGTCTGTTACCTTATGCAAGAAGACACCTGCCATGCAATTGATTTCTTACTTGCTGTCTTTCAAGAGCTATTGCAAGCTGCCTTTTGGTTTGGTAGAGCCAATTCCTTCAGCTGTGTAATGCACCAATTCATTCCCTTTGCTGATTCTGCCTCTAGAGCACTAATGTTTGGATCCCCGGGGGTTCATGTGAACTGACCTCCCTCTCCTAACCTTACGGCTTTCCCAAGCCTGAGAACAGTTCCTCAGCATTCTTCTGCCTCGTTTCATGTTGCCAGCGCTTTAACCCTAGCAGTGATGGTCACTCCAGCCTCGCTAAGAATGAGGGCTGCTTTTCCGAGTTCCCTGTGAAAACACCCTTGTTTTCTCCAGCTTAAAATGAGCTGTGGGGTGATGTGGGGATGTAGGACTATTTTGAAGAAACTCTTTCCCAGTGAATTAGTATGCAGCTGTGCGTGGTTTAAAATGTCATGAGCCCATAAGTGTGAAACAACAATAAGGAACAGTTTTAGAAGTGTTGAAAGGCAGACTGTCCAACACACAACCGGAATGGGAGGAGAGGGCAGACCCCTGATTTGCAGGAATGAGGGGCACTGGCAGGTCCTCTGTACTGGAATTTAGGAGGGGAACAGTGGGGGACAGAAGAACTGTGTGTGGCCAGGGCAAAAAAGAAGCCCTGGAGTTTCTGGGTCACAACTTGGGATATATTCCTGACTCCAGTGAAATCAGTGGGGTGTTATCTACTGAGTTCAAGTATAGTCAGGGTCACATTTTGACACCCACTTCCTGTGTGGGTGGGAAAAGGAATGCATTTCTCTCTGTCTCTTCCTCCCAAACATTTAATCACACAGGGATGGCCTGGATTTGAGGCAAAAGGTCCTGCTTCACTGCTTATGTTTTCATCAGCAAGAGTCACATGACCCCCAAAGCGACTTTCACAATCACTGCTCCTTTATTCACGAGTTGTCACACTGGCTTTTATAAAATTGACTCATAAGTGGATTGTGGCTTCTAGCCAGAACATTCGCTTTCAAAGGGGTTTTCTCTAATTCCATGCTCACTTTCATTTTAGATTTGGCCTTAAAGGAATGCCCCCTTGCTTTCTGAACTCATGGGGAAGATATCCTGGGCTGCCACTTCATTTTATTTTTTTAAAAAATTATTTACTGAAGAATTTCTGCGCCTTCAGTTTTGTAAAAGCTGCCAGAGTGACCAATCAAGCAAAATAGTAGAGATTACGTTTTAAAAATCAGTTATGCAAAATCGTAAACATGGTTCGTGGCAGTAGAATCCCTAAACCAATATATAGCCTTTGTTACTAGTAGGCACTGATACCTTTATCTTCCCATAATTCCTCTAAAGCTACCCCTCCCTTTAAAGCTAAGTTGATGTCTATCAGTATGTCTAGTAGGAGTGAGTGCTATTGTCTAACTGTGCTTCTGTGTGAAGAAGTACTTCCTCTCTTCTGTCCTTCACCTTCCCACAACCAGCTTCATTGGATGAGCATGGTTTCTAGGGTTGTGAGAGAGTGGGAGGAGAACCTCTCCACTTTCTCTTACTAGCATAAATAATCATATACATCTCTATGATGTGCTTCCTTACTCACCTCCCGCCACAAAAAAAGCCACAGACCTTATACTTTTGAAGTTTGTTTTTTTAATTTAACAGCATTTATAAACCACTTAATATCCTAAAATCTCCTAAATTGAAATAGAAAACTGCAGCATAAGAACATGAAAAACAGATACAAAACAAAAACCAGTAGGATGACTATAAAATCCGTAATGGCTATTATATTACGTATGCATGTACATTATGTTGCTTGTTATGTTATAAACCCCCTTCTGATTTGATAAGGGGCAGCATATAGATTTCCTAACTAAAACAGTATCGTTAAAAGCAAGAACGAAAGAGTCCAATCTAATGGCAATGCCTAGCCATGTATACACACACACACACACACACACACACATATATGTATATGTATATGTATGTATGTATGTATGTATATGCATATGGTTTGTGGTTCAAGTTTGTGGTTCAAGAAACAACTAATTCTATAGATCTTTTATACAAGGTGTAAATATCTCTGTTTAGTGACTTCAGCAGTACAATTTTTTTAAACATCCCCTGCCAAGTTTAAATCCATGTATATATGTCTGTTTCTCCCTCAACAGCTAAAGGAACAGAGAGAGAAGGAGCGGCGGCAGAAGAAAGCCAAGGCTGGCAGTGTCTCTGAGGAGGGAGGGGGAGAGTTTGATGATCTCGTGTCTGCTTTGAGGTCCGGCGAGGTCTTTGACAAGGACTTATCGAAGCTCAAGCGCAACCGCAAGCGTTCAGGGAACCAAAGCTTGGAGACGAGCCGGGAACGGGCAGTGACAAAGCTCAATTATTAGAGGAGGAGGAAGAAGCACAAAGGAAAGGAAAGGACGAAACAAAGACTTATTGCCACAACAAAGAGTCAAACAAGATGGCGGAGGCTGGCCAATATCCTTCCAGGGAGACTTGCCTATCTGGTGGCTTTGTTTACTGTTTCCAGGATGAACGGGCCTTCCCATCTTGCTCTCTTCCATAGCCATATAATCTGGAATGGTTATAAAAGTGCCTCTCTACAGCCCAAGGGATTTGTCACCAAGACAGTGCTGTTTGGTAGACGAGTTTGCTTCTTGACATTTCCCCTCACAACTTCAGCCAGTTCCCAGTGGCGGAACACAAACCGTTGGGCCTTCTGTGCCGATTAGTTATGGGGAGAGATACTATGGTTTACTCTGTGCCAAAGTGTACACTTAAAAAAAAAAGTTCTCCATCTATCTGAGAAAATTAACAAGACATTTTCAGTTTGGTTTGCTGAACCCTCCTGCCCATCCTTCAGGCATCTGTTGTGGAGTGGGTCTACAGCGCTGCAGCTCCGTTCTTCCCCAGGATTTACAAAAGGCCATTGGTCGAAGCCTGAATGATGTTTTTCGATCTGGAGAAATGTTACTTAGTGGCCTATAGCATATAAAGCAAAGCAAGTGATGCTGCGTCAGTGGAAGTAGATGGGGCCGCTCAGCCGAAGAAGACAGACAGACTGTTTGCGACACTCCTTGTTTTTTTCAGGAATCATGGATATTGAGTATTCAGGGATGTGCCCAGCCATGAGAAAGAATGAGGGAAGGATGAACCACACTCGGAAGAGCGACCGCAATGGGTTTCGAGCCAGTTCAGTTGTCATTGCTGAGCAATGTGGTAGGGAAAGGGTGGCAAATAAGAATGTTCACAGGTGTAAATCTACATAATTTTGTTAGCACAATAAAAATGGTTATTGGGACTGGCAGAGGTAGGATTTTTTTTTCTTTTTTAAACCCAGGCAAATGGAGTTTGTCTGGTGGTTGGAAATGGGAATCCTTTTTTGTGTCGGCAGCCATAACTCTACTGGGATGAACTGGAGCTTACACTTTAACAGGCTGGCCTTCTCGGAAGCCCCAGGTCTCCCAGAAAGGGCTGCACGATTTTAATCGTAGTAGTAATAATAATAACACGCTGCATCGGTAGAAAGCTGGGGTGTTTGAGGACTTTTCCATCTGGAAGGGAGTGATGGTAGACTCAAAGGTGGCTTACCCCGGTCGACTTTGATAAGAGCTCCAGAGAGCACAGGTAATTAATCCAAAAATAATTAGTTGTTCCACAGTGGAAACTATCTAACATGCACAGCCGGAACAGCGAGAGGGAGCATATTAATATCTTCCTGTTTCATTGTACCTATATGGCTGTATGGCAATAGAAGCATATACTGTTAGAGTCCTTATTTATCATAAAGAGGTGAACAGACTGTCGCCTTCCTTCAAGTGAGCATAGGAAAAAGAGGCGAGAAAGATCTGGGTGTTAAGCGTAGCGACAGATGGTCATGCCCATTTCTGGAAATGAACATGTCATCTGTGAGTGAGAAGTCCTTGGGACTCTGAGGAATCCTGAAGAGGCTCAAATCGTCACTTTACAGAGCAATCCTATGACCTCTTTGTGGGTGGGAGAAGCTGTGGCAGAACCACCACATCTGGCACTCTGCAGGCTCACTGCAGCCGGGGTGGAAAGTGTGGGGCAGCTTTCCTCCCTGCCTTTTGACCTTCCCCACTTCCAAACTGCAACCTCTCCCATAACGCCCTGCTCTTGTCCCCACTACCAGTAGGGAGCCATTATGCAATTTCTGTGGCCACACAGTAGACCTCCGTCTCTGCCCACCCTCCCAAGCAGCATAGGATTGCTCCCCCCTTATCACCTGCTTTTTGTTTGTATCAAAGTGTTATTTAATTTCAAGCTTAATCTTGAGTTTGTAGAGCAGACAACGTCTGCATCTTGAGCACTGCCTGATCAGTATTCTATGCAAACCACGTTAGAAAATTGTAGAGGGAGGTTGTTGGTCAGAACATCAGGAACACTAAATCAGGTATCTGGGAACATGCAGGAGAGAGAGAAAGTGTGAGAAGACAGAAGCTGCCTTATTTTAATGTAGTGGAGTCTGAGCCTCCCATTTCTGAATTTCTCTGTTCATGACATTCCAGAATCCAGCACTTCTGCTTTGACACAGACAGTGAAGAGCCGGTTACCTTACAAGGGCCGGATGCAATGTGCTCTCTCCTTTACTCCTCCTCCCTGTTTTGAAGGGCCTCTTTTTGTGAAAACAAACCCACTGCAAATAGACCCAAGCACTTTTTTTTAAAAAAAAAAATTTCTAAAAACTTTTCTTTTGGGGGTGTGTGTGGGAATTTTACAAACTTATACTTTAGGGAGTATTCTCCCCACCTCCAAAGATGATGAAATAGACACTTTTAAATAATTGCTATCTCAAGCTTTTTGCTGAGCTCTGTAGTAGAGATGTAGTACTGTGATAATGTGTATTGTGGACACAATGCGAGGCTGAAGCAATATGTGCCATAAAGGTAAAGGTAAAGGTACCCCTGACCAGTCGCGGACGACTCGGGGGTTGTGCGCTCATCTTGCTCTATAGGCCGAGGGAGCCGCCGTTTATCCGCAGACAGTTTCTGGATCATGTGGCCAGCATGACTAAGCCACTTCTGGCAAACCAGAGCAGCACACAGAAACGCCATTTATGTGCCATAGGGGGAGAACAAATGAGTTTAGTATGCAGAAAAGCCCGAGATAACATTCCCCCCCCCCCCCGAATATAAACATTTGTTTTCTTTCAGCACCGTCTTTCCCCTCTTGCTTAGTTTCTAAAGATTTAAGGCCTGCAGAGAGATTAATTACAAAGGATAAATCCCAATTCACCAGCTTAGATTCATCTGTGACCCTCTTCCTGAATGTGAAAAAAGAGACTAATCTGATCTATGTTTCTGTTAATGTGGTTTAGTCTTATGCTGATGGCATTACCATAACCCCCATTCTTTCTGGTTATGAATCGGAGGAGGGCCAGCCTGGAGCCTGCTGGTGGCTCTCTCTGTCATTGTCCCATTTCAGAGGGGCACCCCCTCCATTTTGGGTGGCAAGGAAGCTTACTTGGTGACAAGCAGCAGCAGGTGGCATGCAGCAATCACTTAAAAATGAATAAAATAAAAGCATTAGACCTGAATCAGCTTAAATCCAAAGCATTTTTCCCTCTGAAAAATAAGTTGCAAGTTCTTTAGTCGGGCTCAGGGATGATGGGAGTTGTAGTCCAATAGCACCTGGAGACTATAACTCCCTTTAGACTATAATTCCCAGCAGCTACAGCCAGTGCTGGCTGGGTCTCCTGCACGTTGTAGTATAAAACCATGGGGAGGCACCAGTTTGGGGAAGTCTGATCAAGAGAATGTTTGAAAACACAAAATCCCAGTGTTTTAATGACTGCAGCCAGACTTTGTATATTCTCAAATCTAGCTCTTCAACTTTTCCTAATACTTATGCATCATCACTATTGTTTGTGGTTGACAACAAATAGAAAATCTACAACAACATACCTTCTTCTGTGGACTTTGGTTGCAACGTGTGTCAGTGATGTTAGGACTGGGCTATGTGTTCCTAACCCAGGTGGACGTGCTAATCGAAATGCACTGCCAGTTAACAGTGACGGAAATACAGTAACAGTTCAGGTTTAGAAGTCTCCTCTGTTGGTTAGATCCAAATGGTTCATCTCCTTCCAGCCAATGGAGCATTTCCCAGGGAAAAAGCATTCCAAGTTTTGCAAGGGGTAATAAAAACCAAAGTTTGAGTCCGCTCATCCCAGATTCGGGGGGCGGGGGCATGGCAAGGGCTTAATGAGATATTTCTCATTTGGAAGACAATGTTTGCAGGTCTTTTAGAAGTATTATGTTTCACAAAGTGAAGGAGAGCAAAGCACTTGTCCTACAGAAGAGCTGTGGTTCTCCATGCCCACCTCAACTTCTTTGGGCAGACCTTTTTCTTTCTGCCCCCCCCCCCCAAGTTATAGCCCAATAGCCATTGAAATAGGTTTATATCTTAAAAGTTTCCATGAAGGGAAAGGAGATCAGTTGTACAGTTCTGTTATGTACATGATGTATGCAGTTCTGTTTTTTTAATGTTCTAATAATTAAAAAAATACAATTTTAGGAATGTTTTTAGGGGAACCCTGTAAATGCCACACCTCTATTTATTTTGCCTTATTTTAGTTTGCTATTTTTGTGTATACACCGCATTGCAGCCATGACTATTGAGACTGCACCAGTATATTCGGAGCAAGCAGAGTTCCATACTTGACACTGCTCAGGCAGGATAGGTCAGTGGGCTGGGCTTCCATTGAAGGAAAGATTTAATGCTCAGGAAGCCCTCCCTGCACCAGACACCACACACACACATTGATGTGTTGCAGAAGGATGAGGAACATGTGGCCTTCCAGCCTTAGCCAGCATGGCCAGTGGTCAGGGACAAAGGGACTTGTGGTCCAATAACAGCTGGAGGACCACAGGTTCCCCATCCCAACAACAAACAAACTTTTTGGGCGACCATAACACAAATTAAGTCCAAAGTATATGCCATTGCTGGCCCAGCACACACAGACAGTTTCTCAGTGCCCTTGTGTG